CTAAAACTGGCAGTCTGGGTAATGCTCAGGAAATTCAGGGTCTGTATAAAACCCTCGCAGGTCTCCACGTCTTCCGTTTCCACGGTAACGTTACCCCACCCAGTCTTTGAAAGAACATCTGCAATTTCTGCATTGTACAATTTTAAAAGGGACACACATGTCTCTTACAGCCTGGGGCAGTTTTTTGACATTCACCACACCTAAAGCAATAACAGATGTACAATATGATTAGAATGAGCATGTTTATATTTAACTATATTAGAGTACAAGTGTTCTATTGTAGCAACCTAGCTCTAGAATTGAGGCACACCAGAGTTCACTAATACCTTTAAAAAACACGACAAAGTACCTTGAAAACAAGACGATTTTTTAACTAGCTAGTTTGTGCATTTGAATTCTGACATGACCTATAAATCATCGACAGTTTATATTTTTTTTCTTACCGCTGACATCTGCATGGGGCGTCAAATTTGAAAAGTGAATGACGATACGGAAATGACGATACGGAAATGACGATACGGAAATGACGTAGGCTGTCCATCCACTGGTGTCCAGCCACTGGTGTCTAGCGAGAAGTGAGTCTGCGGGGCTGCAGCTGGATGCCTCTCAAAATGGGCTTCAACTGTCTCAACTGAGTTCCAATTGTTACATGTGTGTCCTGAGTTTCCCCCCGTCACTGTGTATTTGGTTTATTCCTGTGTCTCAGTTTTCCCGCTCCTCGTTAGTTCTCAGTTCCTTCACCTGTGTCTAGTTCATTTGCCCCAGCTGTGTCTTGTTCCCCTATTCTGTTCTCTGTGTATGTAAACCCTGTGTTCTCCCTCACTCCTTGTCGGTTCTCGTTGATATTACTTTGTATTATGGTGTGTGTTTCCTCCGTCCATCTGCCTGTTTGAACCTTGTCAGTTTATATTATTAGTAAAAGTGATTGAATTGGAAATCTGGACTCTGCCTCTCCTTCAACCGGCACCACACCCGTAACACCAATGAGATGGCTCTGTCCACTTCTTATACTGTCTATGGGTGAAATGTGTAAGGAAAGGGTCAACGGTGTAATTTAGATGTAATTACAGAAATCAATTACAGCTGTAACATGCAGGTATTTTAAAAATATAAGCACAATGTAAAAACATGAATCTACACAATAAGTGCATTGTATCAAATGATTAATTTAAATATTAGTAAATAGTAGTTAAAGGCATCTAATATAGGACCAGCTTTCTACTCTACATCCTCTCCCTCTTTTTCTTTCTCATTAAGCTGTCTTGGCTCTTGTTGTAAAGTGAGGGACACCCCGTCTGGGGCACATCAAAGACTTTCTCGGTGGCGACAGGAGCTGATGAAATACTCCATGCCTAATTTAACACTCCAGCAGCACCACCAGAACTTGGCTCAATCTTCCCAGTAAAAGTCACTGGATGGCCTACTTCAGGAAGCAGGCTCAAATAACATGAGGCTCTGATTCTGACCAAACCGACCTTAGAGAGTGAATAACTGTATTATGCTTGGGGTGATGATGCTGTATCCTACTGATCAGAGAGAGACCATAGTAATTATGCGATCTGAGATCAAACTGAGAAGGAGAGTCTTCAGAAGAGTATTAAAATCAAATACATGTAGAGCATTTAGCCCTGTATCTGCTATATCACTCAGACTTAAATATAGCTTCTTTATAGGCTTTTCAATGTTTAGCCTTGATGACTTTCAGCAACAACAACAAAGATGCCGGAAAAGCCAATTCGAATCCCGCTCGAAGCGGGTCAAGTAGGACCAATTACATAAAGTTACTTTTAAGAAATATCACTTGAGTGCTAGTTATTTAGACAAGATTAGTTTGAAAAGATTAATTTCAGAACAAAACACCACTGTATTTTTCTCGGAGTTGCACAACGAATCACAAACATGATTATGAGTGTGACTGATTTCATGCAACAGTTAAATATTGTATTTTGAATTGTATTTTGAATTGTAGTCGGTTACTGATTCCAAATTTACAAAAAATTGTAGTTTATTGTACTTTACTGAGAGTATACTTCAAAGTGTAGCCTACTTTCATAAATTAAAAAATCACCTTTTTACTAGTTAAAAATATTTAACTAGTAAATGATCAGTAAAACTAGTTATAAGTTCAGTTGTAGTATAGCAAATGAAAAATGTAGCCTAGTTGTAAACTAGTTTACTGCTGTTACACTTAAAGTTTACTTAAAAGTATACTTTTATACACTAAAAAGTTGGCCAATTTAGTCCCAAGTTGTGTTAAAAAAGTACACTTACAATTATACTACTAGTGCATTGATATTACTATAGCCTACTTACTACATAAAAATATACTTGAACTTTTCTTAAGTATACTTAATAAAATGAACTTGAAGTATACTTATTTTTTGTAAGGGACAGACAGGACAGTGACTTTTTAACAAGCTAAAATGTCTTTACACTTGGTGTAAATGCGTTGCCCTGTCTGACTCTCTTAAACGGCAGTGTCCAGCAAGGACTAATGGGGCGTGGAGAGAAGCTATTAGCTGTCCTATTGTGGATCATGAGCAAATGCGTTGTTTATTTTTATTGTCTTCTGCTTCTCCTTTAGGGCAGTCGTGGTCTAATGGTTAGTGAATCAGACTGGCAAGCCAAAGATTGCGGGTTTGATTCTCAGTTGCGGCAGGAAATGACTGAGGTGCCCTTGAGCAAGGTACCTAACCCCCAATCGCTCCCCGGGCGCTGCAGCAAAATGGCTGCCTACTGCTCCGTGTGTGTGTGTCCACGGTTTGCAGTGTGTGAGTGTTCTCTACTCCTAATGTGTGCACTAATTTGGATGGGTTAAATGCAGAGGACAAACTCTCCATATGGGTTACCATATTTGGTCTTCACATGTCAATTTTACTTTCCTATAGACAGAAAAGTCAGGTTTTCGTTGAGGTTGACAAAACTAAGTGAACCGAACATGTCCCCTCCCGGTCACAGTCCATTTGTGACTTGTTTGGTACAAAATAATTCTCTTGAAGCACAAAGTAACAAGATTTGATGTCGATAATGGTGTACTTGTCTAACATTTAACCATTCAGAGATAACTCAGATGGGCCAACTGAATCACTCATTTAGGCCGATAACTCTCACTAGCTGTGGTGAGTCTGTTTCCCTGTGGCGGTTGGCTGAGTCAGTGCTTGGCCATCATTCTAGGATGTCAGCTGATGTAAGGATGCCTGTGCTGATCAGGCCAGAGAGCATTTTAATGTGGATTTGGCCTCATCTGGAATGCAAAGAGCCCCCCTGATACATCAAACCATTCATCCTTTATGAGCCGAGTGAGCAGGCAGAAACCAGAGGTGAATTAAACATCACTGCTATAGGACAGCCTGGCTTAAGTTGTATATTTCCTTGCCGAGCAGCATGCAAGCCCAATCACTTACGCACAATCCCTCAGTACGTGAATTCAATGGCAAATAGAAGTGTTTGGAATACCTAAATATGTATTACTTGCATTATCACAAGCTGGTGAATACTAAATCACAAACCTCTGACTTCCCTATCTGCGGTATGAGAGAAACATATTAGACATTGATCCGCTCTTATTTTATTCATATCTCTCTGAATATGAGGCATTGGTATCAGTGACAGGGACAAATCCTTGCGGTTAATCTGTTCAGAAAAGAATTGTTTAGGTGAAACTTTTGACGGTGCCCATTCTTCGAACATAAAATTATCTGAGGAAACAGGAATGTCTGATAAAACTGCAATGAATCTGTCACAGTTGAAATTTAAGTTGTAATGCATCTCTTTCAAAAACATCATTGGAGCTGCTTGGGGCTTTTCTCTGTGCGTAACTGGTTGAAGTTCTTCTTTTTTAAACTCATACCCATCTGTGAGGCATGAGCATATGACATGATCAAGAATGGCTGCTTCTCTAATGTCTGCTTATCTAATCAGACTTTCAGTGGTGTAAATGTTCCTTCTACAGAAACTCTTTCTTGGGAGGAATTTCAATTTAAACGGAATAGTATTTCCAGATTACATTTTGAGACTAAAATTAATAGAATTTTGCAGCTGTGGACATAATCAGTACTGTCATAAAAACCTTTCTCAAACTTTTATTGGCAATTGTAAAATCAATAAGATTAATTCAGAATATTTCCCTGCATTTATTGCATGTTACTGTATATGTATAGCTGAGTTTTAGAGTATTGAACTACTCTGCCACCTTCTGGTTAAACCAACAGCCTATTCAATTCACACCGCCTAAAGCAGTGCTTCTCCCTTTTTTGGTCTAGAAAAAGTGATAGTTCACCTGAAAACAAAACATCTTTCCATCATCTACTCACCTTCATGTCATTCTATATGACTCTTTTCCCCTGGAACAAATGACAAAAGTAGTCTATGCATCGCTTGCACTAGTCATTTGAGGAACATTGTATTAGAAACACACTGAAATTTAAGATCTATTCTGCCACATTAATGATGTGCAGCGCAGCAGGGACATATTTGTTTGCTTTCAGAGATAAATTCAGCATGCCCAATAGCACATACAACCAAATCAGGAAAATCAGGGAAGTCTCCCCCGCACTTTAAGAACCACTGCCCGTAAGAAAGCTTTCAGTAAGAAATTAAGTGCCAGATTAATCAAAGCATTACTTAAGGGCATTTTTCTCCATTAATGTTTAGTGCTTTGAGCAGCTAATAAAGTCTCAGACTATTCTCTTTATAATTCAAAGTATCCTCTTTATGCCACAGAAGTTTGTGCTAATTTAAAAATACCACCAAGAATTATTATTTTAATAATCTTCAAATCCTTGGTCTGTCACACATCACAACATGCACATTTTCTATCCCGAGTCCATCTGTTTCAGGCTGACAAACATTTCTCACATTAAATAAAAGTTCATTTGGATGAATCAATATTCTACACATGAAACGGAAATGTTTATAGTTTTGAAAGGTCTAAAAATCATATGCATTAATTAAAAAAATTATCTAAAGATTATTTGTAATCAAGCCAATTTTGACAAAGATCACTTTTAATGAGAACATTTATTTCCATCTAAAAACAAATCTGCCACAATAAGGTGCTTTGTAAATGCTACATATGAAAACATGTTGGTGTGATGTGTCAAACATTAGAACTGAAAATAATACCATCAGATTGATGCCATCAACAGTTTTTGGCACAGCACTAATGACTTGGAGACAATACTGTTGTCACTGATACATAATTATTAAACATTTACATAAACATAAGTGCTTATCTTAATCACAAACTGCTTTATTTAGACTTTTGAATCTCCTTTATAGCCGCTTCAAGAGGATCACCTGGTGGTTTAGGAAGATCAACCTGATTAATGCGAAACATTTCATAAAGTCCACACAACACGTGGTCACTTTTGCATTCTTCAGCGGGTATGGTGAAGTTCTGAAGGAGCCACTGCTCTCGCTCTAATCTGAGGGTCAAGGCAGAGGCCGCTGGTCTTGTTTCAGGGGGTGTGAGTGCAGCCGCAGAGGAAACACAGGTCTGATCATGGATGCTGATGCTGTCCATCGATGAGCACATCTCTCTACAGTTGGTGCTGCCCATTTGAGGACTCTTCTCCTTGGATGATTTTGTTGGACTTTCATGCTCACATTCGTACATGGAGCTGTGATCAGGTGATCCTACATCTTTAAGTGTACAAATGGATTCGTTGTCATCCGGAGGAAGGCTGCTGCCAATCGTGACGACATCTTCCGATGCAACTCGGACGAGTTTCAAATGCTTGCCACGTGGGCCATGGTAAGAGTCGGTGCTCATGTCTAGAAGAATGCAGTCAGAATCTTGATCCATCTTAGAATTCCCATTCACAGTATCATGATCTACATCCACATCATCTGAATCCCCGTCATTGTGACTAAGACGGGTTATTTTTGACTCTGGAGAGTCAAACACCACCCCTCGAGACTCAAGACGTGAGGTTCTTTGAAGCACGCCTGTCATGCCGTTTGTGGAGGCCTGAATATTAGAATTGTTCATCATGTAGTGCTTGACCGACTCTGGAATCACCACCTCTTTAGACTTCTTGCGGGGGCTCAGAAGGGAAGAAAAATAAGGCAGGCAGTTGCCCACTATAGGCACTAGTGAGAAAGGTTTCAGGGCAGACACAAAGTCCTCTAGCTCCTGGTAGGAGGAATGATCAGAGTATGGCACCACATAGACATTAGGGTGGCAGGAGACCATAGGGCGACTGGTGGGCAATATAGCGATGGTAGGCTGCACTTTATTCCATGCCAGCAAGTTGGAGGCGTTGATCACAGACTGAGAGACCACACGAATCCGGCCCGCACCAGAGTCAGTGGTGAAAACGTCAGGAAGCTCCAGAACTCGCAAGGTTTCCAGACGCTCTCTATCCACCTCCACCCATGTTTTAAACTCCATAGCCAGCTCCACCAGCAAGGACTCTTTACCCAGAGAGTAAAGACCTAATAACAGATAGCAGGCTCATTAATAATTATTGCAATTTTAAAATATCAAACTACCTCAAAAGTGTGAGATGAATTCAGTCACTTTTCACAGTATGTTTTCTACATAACATTAATTAGTCGAGAGATTAACATGAAAAAATGCGACGTACTGTATATACACTACCATTCAAAAGTTTGGGGTCGGTCATTTTAAAAAATATATATTTTTGAAATGCGTCTCTTATGCTCACAAAGGAAAGTAATTCAAGTAAGTAATTTATTCATGTGATGGCAAAGGTGAATCTTCAGCAGCCATTACTCCAGTTTTCAGTCTCACATGATCCTTCAGAAGTCATTCTAATGATAATTACGTACCCAAGAAGCAATTCTTAATATTATCAATGTTGAAAGCAGAATCCCCCAGGATACTTTAAAGAATAGAAAGTTACAAATTTTGATGAATAGAAAATTCATTTGTTTGTACAAAAGAGAGAGAGAGAGAGAGAGAGGAGAGAGAGAGAGAGAGAGAGAGAGAGAGAGAGAGAGAGAGAGAGAGAGAGAGAGAGTGAGTGAGTCACCTACAAATATTTGGAGGCTTTTTGTTGTCTGCCGCTTTAAATGCTCAAGCTCTGGAATCTGATTCTCAATGTTTTTATTGTTCATCAGCTGGAAAAAAAAATGTTTTCAAAAATATTGTTCCTCTCTGTCGTTATCGTTGTAATTAGTTTGAAACTGTTTTGTGGAGATGTGGACTTCCCTATTCTTACAGAATTAGAACGATTAGTAAAACTTTATAGTTATTATCATTACAGTTATGGTATACGCTTGCTACGGTAGTCTGTGTTACACTGTGTTTGGGCGTACATCAGTGACATTACTTAACAACGTTACAGTCACATAGTTTTATCCTACATTTACAGTAGCTTTAAAATTAGGTAGTATTTGCAACAACTAGGAAATGATGGTGACACATCATTTCAAGGTAATGTAATTTCTAAACTGGACTAATTTGGCCAGTCTCGCTAAAAGTGTGTTTTGTTTTAATAAAGGTAGTTTTAGGCTTTTTGTCGGAAAAAAGAATAGCCTAGTGTGTAATAATGACGGCAATCTTGTATTCCTATATTGCCGACCCTGTTTTGACAAAGTAAATGGAGCAAATGGAGTCGGGAATCGGAGTTAACTCCAGAAAACACTGAATCGAACACCCCTAGACAACGGACGCTGAAAGTGTCTGCTCTGCTCCATACAGCATGAGCTGCAGTGTTGCAGCACAGTGCAGAAGAAGTCAGATTTCACTTATCACATGACGAGAGCAAGGAGAGATGACTGAGAAGACGATGGAGGAGGATTTGGTGCGCAACAGATCTTGATCGTCATTGACAAATATCTTGTAAAATGTGAGGACAGTACAGCCACTCCCTATACACAGAGTACGCATTCAAAAGTGATTTCAACACCCCTCATATAAATAGTGGCAAATTATACACCTACACACAGAGTGGGCAACACGTGATCGCAAATTCGAAAATCGAAAAGGGAGGACGCATTCAACAGTGATTCACAGTTTTATCTGTAATACTGGTGTTGTTGCAAGTTTATATACCGGTGTGAAAAGACATCCCTATTATCATTACAGTTGGCCTTTATTAACTAACAGACTCAAATGTTTTTCGATTTTTTGTAAAAACACATGAAACTGTATTACATGAAATTCTTTAATGTTGAAAGTGTGCGTGTCTTACCAATAACAACGGCGTATCCAGAATGAGCCCTAATGATCTCTTTAATTTGCTGAGTGGCTCGCTGACGAGAAGGTACAGCTCGAGTGGGGTCACAGTTTGTGTTGTCCAGATACAGCACGTCAATAGTAGTGTTGTTCCTCAGACATTGCTCACGGAGCATGGATGGGGTATAACGGAAGTCACCTGAGATAAAACACATTAACTATCATTAAAATGTAATCTCAATATGTGACAGTGAGAATCAATAACTTTCTTAAGAAAAACTATTAAAATATTGTGCATTTCCATAATATTAATTTTCACCAGTGTAGAGTCTGGTGCCAAAGTATCCCTCGAAGAGAAACATAACTGCCCCAGGACAGTGATTGGCATCTATTAGAGTAACGGTCAGCCGCTCTTTTCCAAGATCATCTAGCAACAGCATGTGAGCTTCCCCAATCTCCAAAGGACGAATCCATTTCTGTCTGACCTGTAGATCACAACAACATGACACAATTTTTCACTCCTGCCATTTTCAGCCATTTAGCGTACATAAATGTACTTATTCATCTCTGGATATTAGGTCCAGGATTCTGTGGAATCTGTTTATAATTTTTCATCCATTTTGTAGGTTTTCAAACTTAAGGACCCCCAAAATATATTGTTCCCTTTGCGAAGGAACCCCTTTGTAAATATAAATACAGCTAAATACATTCATGTAATGTACAAAGACCAATTTATACCGAGTGAGAAAAAAATGTATATTATAGAAAACATGCTGTTTGTAAAAATGAAATAAAACAGGCTTTCTAAAGCATGTGCTTGGCTTTGGTACTGTATCCATATAAACCATAAACCATATATGAATAACCTGGTTACAGTACCAAAGCCAAGCACATTCTTACAATATTGACCCACGATTAATGTTCTGAATAAACCTGAAGAGAAACGTTTTTAAGTCAATTTAAAAAAAAAAATGCATAGCACTTTTCACTATAGGCTAAATGTCATTCCATATAACATAATTTACAGTTGACTTTGATATATAACAGTGTTGTTATTTTTAAAATAGTATATAAATAAGATATAAATATATATATTGTTTTCTTTGGAATGTTCCCCAGAACCCTGTGCGGCCCCCGGCAGTCACCTGCAGTTTGAGCTGGAGCAGTTTGGCAGTGAGGGGTGAGCAGTAGATGGGCCTGTGACTCCAGGAGGATGACAGGCCAGAGGTGTGATCCGCGTGCATGTGAGACAGAAAGAACAGTCGGACGTGATGGCACTTACGGAGCTGCCAACAGTCTACGGCTATGGGAGTGTCCGGTAGGACTTTTCCGTTCATTTTATGCTTCTGTGAGGAGCTCAGGCGGTTACGTTACCTACTGCTTATTCCTAAAGGGATTTTCTTTTGACAAAAGCCGTATTTCAGCTGCACTGGTTTTGTTGGCGTTAAAAAGCGTCACTTCTCTAGCAGCGCTGTCATACATGTAAACACACAATATTCAATATGCACTGGCAAGTGTTTGTAATGTAACGGACAGCTTAAGCAAGCAGCGTTAGCAGGAATAGCGGCTTTATGCAGGCACAAAGTCAGACAAAAAAAGGATAAATGTAACTGCATGCTTTCCAGTCTTTGTTTATCCGAGTGTGTTAGCAGGCCGGTTAGCCGGGCAGATGATGATGTGCTCTATTTTTGCAGATGAGCGCCATGTCGCGGTGTGTTTACCAATTCAAAAGATTTCAGCGCGCTATGATATTTGCGACTGGGTTGTCCGCCAAAAAATACGTTTATTGTCCACGCCTCCATATCGCTCACGAGCTCATCTGACGTCACTGACTTCCGTGATGTGCAGATTTCGGGTCTTTTGCTTGAGCTTAACCCAGAAATCGCTGCTTCCTCCAAATATATATATATATATATATATTTTAACGAGTATTTATCACAGTAGATGATATTAAGTGGCATTCAAACTTCAAATAAGATGCTTTCAATTCTCATTTTGCTTTATTAATGTTTGTGGTCTTTCTTTCTTTCTTTCTTTCTTTCTTTCTTTCTTTCTTTCTTTCTTTCTTTCTTTCTTTCTTTCTTTCTTTCTTTCTTTCTTTCTTTGTAATTGGCTTTGAGAAGCAGTTCATTATGTAATAAAATCACATAAACGGTAATACAGCCATATTATTTTCACTTTAATATGTAACCACTGGGCGGTGCTGTTCGCTCAATTACTTTCACTTATTTAATCAATGTGTTGTATGAAATATAGATTTAGATTTGTTGTATATTTAGATGTTGGTCGTGTTATATTCCCTTATCAAATACAAAAATATGTTTTTATTTTATTTTAGGCTAAACTGTTTAAATCTTGCACAATTGGCCTAATAATAATGGAATGCTTTATTTTATATTCAGCGCCTATACCTCCACTAGAGGTCAGTATAACAACACGTTGACTAAACATACTAGGGAGAAACTGTGGTTGGTAGTCATTACTCAATCATTTCGCAATTTTGACATTTTCTTGGAATTCTGTGTTTACATCTCACAACTTTTTGTGTTCTCAGAATTGCTAGTTCATATCTCAGTTTATATCTCGCTACTATGACTTGTAAGCTATAAACTCAGTATTGCGAGAAAAAAAGGTCAGAATTGTGAGAGTATGGGTTGTTTGCTTTTTTTTTATTCCGTGGAACCGGATTTGAAAGCCTGTGATAAACGATGTTGCATGGCTAAAATCATTTATGAAAATCATTTGTAATTTATTCATTTTTATGACACATTCATAAGCTATAATCATTTACCAAATACATACAGACACATACACAACTATAATAATAACAGAACAGAATAATATAATAAAAAAGGCAACTTGTGGAGTAATCATATTAATCATGTTTCATACGGATCATAATTTCATATCGCATATATATATATTTTTATTTTATTTTTGTTGCTACTGTCTCAAAGCTGTAGATGTTTAACACTGTGCCAACCATTTCTATTACCGGTATGTCCATTAATATAACTTTAGTCATAAATGAACAAAATTTAGTAAATATTTCATGACATTGAATGTATATTTATTTAACTTAAGCTTTAATTTTGAACATACAGTAATTGGGTTAATATATTTTTTTTCCACTTGAGATATTCAAAAAACAAAACAAAAAAACTGTGCCTACCAACCCTGTCTCCCCTACCCGTGCATGTGGACCCCTGGGACCTGTGTTATTTCTAATAAGAAACTTCAGTTCTTCCTTGGCTTCTTTCTGCTCACGCATAAGGAATGGTTGCATAATAGAGGCTTTGAGACAAACAAAAGTTGATACCAACAGCTAGAAGGCAAATGTGCTGACAGTAAAGATGATGAATGACGATGAACCACTTCCATTGATAGTAAACTGACATTTCCTGTTTTCGAACATATTGAGAACTGCGTGGGGTTCAGGGACAAGAAGCCCCCACCTCCTCACTCAGGCAATGCACTTTATGTATACTCTCTCTGTCCGGTCTGTCTGATGCAGTGCAGTAAAAACAAAATGCTAGAATTAATTAGCCCATTGTTCCCATTTACTCAGAAATATTTCATGTACAAATGATTGTAATTCCACAACTTTTAAACAATTATGAACATAATGTACTTGGACATGGTGCATATAACATTGCTATGTACAGATTAAATACATGTTCAGTTTTGATGTCAGTATAGACCTGGTGTTACATCCACATGTGAGATCAAAAAACCCACAGAAGTGTGACAAGTCACATGTGTAATTTCTGTGCCACTAGAATGACTAAAATGAACTTTCAAAAATCATTCAAATTCCCAAACTCCCCCATGAGTAATTGATGCCTAAACTCATGGTCAGGATGCTCAAACAAACAGAGCAATGTTTTGATAGTGCCTCGGAGCCACAGTGTGTTTTTGAGGAAATCAACCTAAAATGGCTTTACTTTTAGTTGGGATAGGAGAAAGCATTTTATCATCTCAAAAAATATACACTTCATCCTTAACCCTCTAAGGGACATTGCCATTTATAAATGTCACTAATACAATAATAATGTTCAACAAAACAAAAATATTAGTAATGTCATATGACCTCCCATTCAGCCAATAAAATTAAAATCTATTTGCAATGTGGTTGACATTTTTGGCAACAAGGAAGTGGAGACACCAGTATGTTAGGTCACATGCTGCCAAGGCTCCAAAGTGAGTTAATTTTAGACTAGAAAATATATATTTTCTGTGTAGCTGCACTATTTTTCAGTACTGGCAGGCAGTATAATAGTCTTTTTTAATGTTACGTTTTATACCTTTTCCAGAAAGTATTGATGATGGTGATGGCAGTGCACCAGAAAATAAGGTTGTAGTAAGGAAGGAAGAAGTTCAAGACCAAGGAGGATAGATGCAGTGAGGGTGCCGGCAGAGATGAAGAATATATGCCATAGACTGTTGTTGTCAGGCATTTAGGTACATTATCCTACGCCAGTTTGGAAGTTTTGATCCATACTACAACCAAAGGTCAGATGCCACTGCCTATTGGTGTCAATACACTGACAAGCAGGGATGCTCCAAAAATGATGACTAAACAGGTCAAAATCGAGTTATGCGTGGAAAGTGTGGGCTACACTGAAAAAGAAGAGTCTTGTTCATTTTCACTTGTGCTACAACAATTTATTTGGAATGCCAAGAAAGAAAGAAACGATGTTAAAGATTTTTTCAATTATTTTTGAAACGTTAAGACATGGTTTCACTAGTTTATCGGAAGTGAAATTGCATCTGAATTTTTGTCACATTTTCTGACTTTCACATGTTAGTTCCTAATGAAATATAGAAGCACAAAATGAAATGGAAAGTTAATAAATCTTTTTAATGTTTTTTGAAACACTAAGACCTTTTTTTAGTACTTTTCAGATTTTGAAAATACATTTAAATTATAGGCTGTGAAAAGATTAATCGCATCCAAAATAAAAGTTTGTGTTTACATAATATATGTGTGTGTATTATTTTGTATATATAAATACACACACATGCATGTATATTTAAGAAAAATGTGTTTATATATATAAAATAATCATATTTATATATAAAATAAATTATATATAAATATATACAGTATATACATGCAAATATTTCTTAAATATATACATGCATGTGTGTGTATTTATATACAAAATAATTATAGACAGTACACACACATATATTATGTAAACACAAACTTTTATTTTGGATGCGATTAATCACAAGTTAAATGTGTGTGTGTGAAGTTTCAGACAATTTGCCAAAAATAATTGACCCTAATAGGACAAAGTCCGTTAAAAATGACAGCACCCTAAAAAAAGGTCAAAGGTCAAATGGATAGAAAACTAATTTTGGAAAAAGATTTTATATGTAAAATATGAAATCTTTTTTTTTTCTAGCTGTGATTTTAGAATTAGTCAAACTAGTTTATTATTGTGTCTGTTTTTTATAGAAGTGTTCATATTCTGCTTAAAAAACCCTTCTGTGTTATACAGGAGAAAAAAAAGTGTGTTTAACTGATTACAGAATATTTGTTTTTGGGAGGTCTATCTCTTTAAGATAAATAAAAAAATAATAAGTTCAGTAGGTTTACCCAGTAGTGTTACATACTCATTCCAATCCTTCCAATGAGTCCGTTTGTTTGTTTTGTTGAAACAGTAGTATAGCTAAGTACTTCTATAAAACTGAAAGGAAATACACTATTGGATTTGATCTTTTATTAACCCTGAATATTCAAATAGTGGAGATTTAGTCTTGGGTACAGACAGTTCCACTTTTGTTTTCCGATCACAAGAAAAAAGAATAAATAGGACTTCAGTGCATCTTCATTTCCTCTAATAATTCTAGCTTTGTAATGACATGCACACAATCATACACATACACGCACACAAATTTGCAAAAAGGCAAGAGAACCTCAATGTAACTGTGAGTGAAATGCAGTGTCAGCTGTCTGCAGTACATACTTTTGTCCTTCACAATAACAGACCAGTGCTCAGACACTCCATAATAGGACAAGAAAGACCCGTGTCCACCTCCTTGTCACTGTTTTTTGACATCCTCTTCCTGTCATTGTGCACACAGGTTCAGAATACAAGTAGAATATCCAAGAACCTTGAGTGTGTACGGTGCTCTGATATCTGTTCTGCATACATTCAGATTGAACCAGTTAACTGGCGAATAGATGTTTACAGAACTGCACGATATACAATTGTGTGCATTATTTGAGCAAATATTTCTATATTTTTATCATTTAATTGTATGATGTGTTGTACTGTCAAACTCATTTTACTCCAAAACATTCTTCAAGGCCTCTCTCCATAAAGCAAGATTTCCTGTGATTCCCTATGAACTTTGTCTTCTTTTATGAGCGATGTGGTCTCATTTCAATAAATGGACATTTCAGCCAGAACAGTCTGTGGTGAGCTCTGATTTACATTCAAAAGAGACAAACCGAGACTTGACAGCTTTGGCTGTCCAGCCAGCAGAAGGCATTCAAGCTCCCCAGAGGATGCTGGGAAGTCATTCAGACGTTATGTTCCAAAGCAGGGTCTGCACGAGCAGTGGCGGCGGCGATATAGTGATTGTTATCCAGTCTCTCGCTTGGCTGGCTGTCAGGAGGAGGAGCCTCCTTGCAGCAGAGGTACTGTTTCCAGATCCTCTGGAACGCTGTACGAAATTTGTTGATGCGGAAAGCGTAAACGATGGGGTTGACTGCAGAGTTGCCATGCGAGAGCAGAATGGCTATATAAATTAGGAACATGGGCTTCTCATACTTCGGACAGAAGAGCGTGATGCAGTTCATGATGTGGAGAGGGAGCCAGCTAACGGCGAACAGGAAAAGGACTAGTGCCAGAGACTTCGCCAGCTTCAGTTCTTTGTCGTAATACTTGTTCGGTTCAGAGTGGCTGGACACCTTCTTATTCAGCTGCTTGTGGATCATGTAGAAGATCTCAGAGTAAATGATGAGCATGAAAAGAAGAGGGGGAAGCACCCAACCAAAGAAGTTGAAGTAGACCATGTACTCCATGCTGATGACGTTCTCAAACTGGCAGGTGATGCTGAGGTCAGGGCCGAGTGAGCGGTTGTTACGTTGCAGGTTGTGTAAATTGTTCCAGCCCAGCATGGGAGTCAAGCCAATTATGAAGGCCACCGTCCAACACATGAATACTGCAATTCTAGCTCGTTTGGGAGTGACCACTCGCTTATAACTACAAAACAAGAACACAAGAGTTAAACAAGTTTTTACTTTGAATCAATTTCTCATGATATGCAGTATTATAGATACTTCAAAATGTGCAGTCAAGAAAACACATACATATTCACTATCTCCATTACAAGAAAATAAAAGGCTAAATTCTGTGTAAATTGTACAGAATTATGATTACTTTGCAAATCACTTGAAATCAGGTGTATAGTCTTTGACTGACCAAGGGCAGCTTCTTTGACCTGCCATGTAACTTTAAATTAAGAGCCAAATTGTGACAAAGTACCACCACCAGAAAGCTTGTTTCAGTCCCACCCACTCCCTCTCGTCCTTCAATACAAGTGCATCTTCTCTAAAATGCCATCTTTCATCTGAGATTCCTTGTCTTTTGTGTGAATGATTTCACAACAAAGGTACCTGTGATTTAATGGCAGACTTTTCTGCAGCTGTCTGACTGAATTCTACACAAAGACGCTTTGAGTCAATACTCCGTTTGTTAAGATTCAGTAGATGGTTTTTGTTTGAATCATTGCTTGAATGTGCTTTTATTAATCATATTAAGTACAGAAATGTCAAATGACGAATTGTTTGTTTCATCTCAGTATTCATACTCTTTTACATGATTTCTGTTGCCTAGAGCCACATAACTCTGTTTTCACTCATGCTGTAGGCCCAAGAGAAGCGCTGTTGCTGTGACTAAATGATCAGTTTTCTGATTGTACAAAAATAGATGGTATTGAAGAGTGGAACATATTTGTCAAATAATTTGGTCTTCTGCAAGTAGGTTGTAATGCACATGCAACATTCTGCATCAGCACAGTAGACCTCAGAATTTTAGTATTCTGTATAAGCTTATCCTTCCATTATTCTGGGATCATGCTGGGATAACATGGATGAAACTTGTGGAATTCATACAGATCGAATGCTGCTATCAGTGAGACATATTAGATAAGATGATACATCAACTTTCTACTCAAATTGTTATGCTGATAAGATAATATGCAATGGAAAACGATTCATTAATGAGAAAAAAAGCATTATTTTCTATAGTGGTCTTATATTTTTGGACCCCATTGTAGGTCCTTTATTTGATAACTTGTTCTCATCTATTGTGCACAATGAATGATCCTGGCAGAGCCGACAGGCAGTCGCTCAGGGCAGCAACTCTATACACTTCTCAGACACACTTCACTTCTCTATAGCTCTTTCGTGACATTTTCATGGGATTGTTTTTGCTCTCCACTTACACCTCTCAAAATAAATTGTTAGGAGGTAACTTTTTCCATGTAGCCCCCATGTGCTATATTTCCCTCACACATTTTCTACTATGAGCCTGCCCACAAGTCACCTCACAAAAGTGTTGAAGGGGTGGATTTCATGTTAATTTTGGCGTATAGTACAGGTCATGGTAATCAAGACGGTGAAATAAAAAAATTAAACGCAAAGTTATTGATTAAGCTCATCTGGGATTTGAACACAGGACTCCCATATTTGATGCATTACAGTGAGAAAAGAGCACAGAACTATTCTCCACACAAAAAGCCTCTTTAAAAATGGAATGGCTTTTACATAGCTGAGTATGTTGCATTTAGCTCCTCTAGGGAGAACCCAGGCATAGTATGTAAATAGGATGTTGCTAGAACTTAAAAGTAGATTGTGTATGCATTTTGTGCCCTAAAGAAATAATGCACTTGTGCATATGGAGTCAGGTGCAGCTTTTAAACTGTTGTGATGAGTTGAATTGTGGCATGTTTCTTGAATTTTGTCCATGATGTCTCTGACACTTGACATTAAGTGATAAGCAGTAAGTATAGAAAGGAACAATACAAAAATAAGGAACATATACAAAAAAAAAAAAAAAAAAGGATAAAAATGTTTACCATGGCACATTTACCAAAGAATATAATACCTGTTCTAAAAACGAAAATAAGAGCCTTTTCAGATCCGTTGAGATAGTGCTTGCTTACTTAAAGACACATTCTCTATGAATTGTTTCATATACAATGTATGGAGAGCTCTGCAAATAGTGCACAATAAAGTGTAAGCCATGTGGAAAGGCATGAGTCACATGTCATTGGGTCAGGTGCATGAGGTTTCTTCCTTTACCCCTCAATGTCTGGCCAGACAGTGGGGCTATGATGATGATTATTATTTAACTTATTAAATGTAATCCTTTTCATAATTTGCATTTGGTATGAGAGTGTTACAGGAATGTGTGAAAGCAAGTCACAAATTTAATAAGGATAACTTTACCTGGTTGGGATCTTGACCCTCAGGTATCGGTCGATGGCTATAGCGAGCAAAGCGAGGATCGAACTTTGGGTCAGAACCAGCACCGTGCACGCCACCAGCAGACAGCTGTAGAAGTGAGTCTGGAGTCCGATACTTATAGTTATCGCCAGTGGGATGACCAGCGCTCCTACTGCAATGTCCGCGAGCGCCAGAGAAACAATGAAGGAAAATGTAGTATCTCTCAGAGATTTATTAATTTTTACTGCCCAAACCACCATCACGTTTCCTATCACGGATGACACGGCGATCACCACCTCCATGCCCATGTAGAGGGCTTTGGCTGCGGAAAACTCCTCGGGCATTCTTCTGCTCGACGATGAATATCCACGCGAAAATGGGTTTTCAAGTGAAAGTGATGTGTGTAAATTGATTAACTGTAGTCCAGAGAGAAAAATCCTCCCATTAAAGCGTTGCCCCTCAAAAGAGTAGCGGTATTCCACACATGCCTATTTACATTTTAAAATGGAACGCGAGAAGAACAAACCCCACAAACCACAGAAGTGACTAACACAATCTTCTGCTAAAAATATCGACCAGTTTCGGCGTTTTCTCCTCGTTTACTACAGCGCCTCTTCATTCCACCTGCGCTCGTGCGAGAAATGCGCGCGCCACTTATTCATCCCACAATCAAACAAATACATTTCTCCATGTCACCTACAACTGTCAGGCAGTTCTCTGAATGTCCAAACAATAGTAAAGTAAATTAAAAGACGCACCATATTTGTCCCTGGATAGCCTATGTGAAACAATATAGCCTATTGTCCAGAGCGGGTCGTTTACACTCCTGTGCTATGCGGTGCCCCAGAATAGCTGTCGATGGGTAGACCTCTTTGTCTCACACATACTCGCCAACTTAGCAATTTAATACAATTGGGAGCAAAATAAGTCCAACTAACCCGTGTGGATTCCTTTTTTTTTTGGTGAAAATCCCAAACCCAGAGGTCATTCCGTTTTCCTTTGACAGGAGAAAAAAAAACCACCCAGACACCGCGCCGTCTATTCCCTGCTTGAGCATATCTGAGGGACAACCAACATGCGTTTTCTACTTTCTTTCGTCTTCAGAGTTTAACTCGAGATAAAGAGTGAGGCTGACCGTGCCTCTGTTTAGTGTAATATTAGTGAGCACTATAATAACCTATGAGATATTGCATTCATAAGAGTGCAGGGAAGTAGGAGGTGACAGAGGCTGATAAGCATGCAGTGACTAATTTACGCTCAAACGACGCCCCAAAGAAGATATAAAAATGGATTGTGAAATATATTTGCAATATTTCAACTAAACTAATAGGTTTAATAATCTACAATAAGCTTAGTGTGCCAACTGAGACATAAGTTAATTAAAAAAAAACCAGTATGCTCCAGTTATCTCACAAATAAAGCCATCTAATGTTACTCAAAAATGATGTAGCTATCCACATGTCTTTGAAAGGTCCTTTTGATGTTTAAGTTTTAAATCGGTGAGACAGGGCTAGTTGTCCCACTTTTTACCCCATTTAATATTTATCAGTGTAGGTTTATTTTTGTAAGTTAATTTTTGTATAAATTGTCACATTAGAACCTGCCATTATAGACACAGCAAATAAAAATATAATAATAATAATACGTTTATTTTCTATAGCGCCTTTCAAGAACCCAAGGTCGAGTCACAATGTAATACAAATAGCAAACAAACAACAAGCAAACAAATACAAAGGCCATCTGCTTATGAGAGACAAAACAGATGGAAACAAGCTTACATTGATTGACATGAATCAAAGAAAGACATGTTGTATTATTTCAAAATATACAATTACGACGAAGTATGTTGCAAATAGAGCTGGAAAAGTGAAGAAAAGTGAAGAACAGAGAAAGCAGTGATGAGGATACTGATTTATTGATCAGTATAATATCAAATATAAATGCAAAATATCAAATATAAATGCAAATGTACTATTTATTTATTTGATCAACAGACATCATAATTAAAAATATATATTTATAAAATATTTATAAAAAAAAATAAAATGACAAATTCTAGAGCATGTTATGTTTGTTGGTATTGTGGATCAGTGACTAACTCTGTCTGTGGCTGACAAAAATCTCCTGTTTTTTAAGGTGAATCATAATGAAGTATTTCTCCATCTGTCATTTCCCGGTCAAATCCCCACTCACATGCAGGGCTTTCAGTCATGGTTTCTCCAGCTTTTGCACAGAACCCCTCCACAATTCAGGTGATTTTAGCAAGTAGAAAAATTCATAGCACGAGAAAGCTGGCCGCAGTGCCAGTCTCATTTCCATAAGAGAAGTTTCTGGATGATCCATCATGTGCGGTGAATCCATTCATGCACTTCACACAGAATTACAACATGAGATTTATCCTGTTGATTCTGAGGAAAGGGACGCCACATTCCTCTAAATGAGTCCTCCATGACTACACAGGAAGAACTTTTATATAGCAGTGTAAAGTTTGCTTTATTGGCATGACAAATATTTGCACATTATTGAAACAGTGTTTCCAGCTGATATGCACACAGATAAAACAATACAAAACAAATTTAGAAAAAAAAAACACATTTCTTTTTTATCATTTAAAATAATAATAAAGTAGTTTAAATAAGAAATAAAAAGCACATAAAAAAAAAAACGTCAGTGATTCATGAAATGAACTATGTGGGATTCTACAATTCCCCAGTGTGCTCTAATAATAGTCAGATCAATACACAGATGTGCAGTAACTAATTATTCAACCAATAAAACTAATAACATGACTGAATATGTTGTGAGGCCCTTTTTGTGTTCTATAAGAGCAGTGTCCCTGGGAGTTGAAAAATATACTAATGATAATGATAATTACTTATTACACAACTGGCACTAAGAATCTGTAACCCCAGCAGAGCAGGACCACATAAATGGATCTCACTCAAGGGATGACAAAAGAAATTAGAAATCAACAAACAACCAAACAAACAGACAGACTGTAGGATTCTCAGGATAATAAGGGTGTTTCTTTTGTTTTGTATACTGGATTACAATGGGAAATCTTCCAGGCACTTATCAAAGCTGTTCAACTGTTTGTTGGCATAGAGCGCAGGCCAAAGGGTCATACGCAGGGGGTTAGAGGTCAGAGAGTTAAACAAAGAGCCCAAATCATATTGTTACATATGGAGATGGACCTATTTCCTAAGCAAAATATCATGTCAATGAATATTTTTATATACAGAAATATTATTTTTGTAAAAATATAAATGGTTATTATTACTGTTATAATGTTATTTGATCAATTCTAGTTACTCTGTATAGGTTGTCTTTTGCATTTTATTTTTATTATAAGCTGCAAAGACTTTGGCAATAAACGAAATTGATCATAAAATAGTGCTGAAAGAAAAAGATTAGGAACCTTTGTTAGTAGGCTACCTAACTCCTGCATTAATTGCTGAAATGTGGTCTGCCAAAGGCAATGACAAAAATAGACAAACACAATTTGCCTAAACAAATAACACCCAAACTGTTGCCCATGTTGTGCTTGTCAATACTGAACACATTGTCTAAACATTTACCTAATTGGTGTCCAGCTCCTCTCGACTGACGTTAGGGTAACAATCGCAGTTCAGCAAGGACTAGACAATCTGCATCTAACATGCCTTTCTGTTTATTTATTCAAATAAAGCAGAACTGTTTTACATTTTACTTGACCTGACTGCAGTCTTGGCACGAACATGTCCCTGATCCACCTTGAATATCCCAAGCATTGCAAGAGTCTCCACCCTATATAAGGCATGAATTGAGTGATTTCCCTGAAAAGAAACGCATCTGAAAATGTGACGTAAGCACTTTTGTAACCGCAAGGCCATCCCCCTGAGACTCATTTGTGTAGATTTTAATGGCTGAGCCATTTTGTGTCCAGCTCCATATCATCCATATACGCATGCCTAAAAATGCTTTGAGGATGAGTTGTAGTTATTAAGCAGACAGAGACGTGCAGATCTTTGTGTTCCTCTTGCTTGCAGTCCCTCCCTAAGGAACATTTGCTATGTCCACAGTTTGAGAGCAGCACTTTACCAAGATCAGTATTTGTCTATTCACCTTAATGACCCACTCAGATTGTCCACACTGCTGGGTTTTCTTTGGCAAACATCTGGGCTTTGCACTGTTGCAGTCGACATGATTAAACTCTTGTCGGCTGGTTCTATTTCAGTCTCCTTAGTCAGGACACCTTTCAAGACCTATTAACACCATTTGCCTTTAAAAGCAACTATCAAGAGAGAATCATGTCATAAAGGACTGACTCTTAAGTCCCTACGGAGACCTGCACTTTACAGCCAAGCATCAGATCATTTACTTACTAATTTACTTACACAGTGCCTAAAATCATGTGATTATGACAGGAAAAGCCTTACTTCAAGACCTTACCTGTTTTAAAAAATGCATGTTTTGGTTGTTTATAATTGTAATTTGCTTTATGGCTGTGTAGTGGTAGAGCATGATGCCCCTTTTCAGACACTGTGTTAGGATAGTCAGTATTATTGAACAGATTACCCTATAGTTCTGATCCTTGATTCTGATTGGCAGAGCGGCGTTCCAAGATTGTCGATATACACTAGCTAGGTTTGCATCCAAAGTTGTGAATTTAACTTATGCACAAAATTGGAATTTTGCATAAAACATTTGTGAATGAAACAGCGTTTCTATATCATGTGTTCAAGAGAAAAAAATCGTAACTTCCTGGGAAATTGGTGCAACATTTCTGTAATAAAAAGTGGAAGTTGCTGCAATCGGAGAGCTACTGTGGCTTTCCCCCCCCCCCCTATAAATAAATGACATTTCAGAATGATCAAACCAACATTTGAGATGCTGTGCAATGAAATTGGTATGCTGGTTAGTTAGTTATCCAACCACATCCACTGCTGAGCCAAAGTTTTTTTTTTTTTGCACATTGGAGGGATCGGTAAATGTGTTTCCATCGCATTTTATGAGCTTGACTTCTTATCGGATAAAAAAAAAATGTATCCGCCATTGAGCGCATACTTTTTTATGTGCATTTTAAAAAAATGTATGCGCATCTTGCTGTTTTCATCCAGATTTTTTAATGCAATATCCCAAAATGCACATAAAACTAGGTGGATGGAAACAGCTAACGGCAATGTGACTTTTCACTGTTTATCCACCTTGTTTTAACGTATGGGCGGCATGGCCATTGTAACTAGTCAATTAGAATCCATCTGACTTTAAAGAGCTTTAGCGTTAACAGCTGCATGTGCTAAACAGCAGCTTGTGCTTAGAATAAACAGAATGTTATCGTCATTGATGTGGATGCCGGAAATATAATTATTGATACAGTTATTGCTGGTGGGACTTAGGCCTTGTCCACACGGACACGGGTATTTTTATAACCGGAGTTTTTCCTTCAGCGTTTTAAAAAAAAATCCCGCCCACACATGCTCGGTCTCCGTCTACATGAAAACGCAAAAACACGCTATCAAGCGCGGTCAAGAGCATGCCACGCCAGTAGGCGGCGATATAAACCTTAACCGTAAAGCCACGTTGGCCAATCAGAAGCGCAAATCTGACGTCAAAAACAGCGGATAACGGCGCACACTCTGACGTCACAAGGCAAAAACCCCGGTTTCACTGTCTACACGACAACACTGTAACCGGCGTTTCTGAAAATCCTCACCCTGGCAGGGGTTTTCAAAAATGTTCGGTTTCAGTGCGTTTTCGTGTGGACAAACGGCCGAACCGCATAAAAAAAGTCACGGTTATAAAAATACCCCTGTCCGTGTGGACAGGGCCTTAAGTGGCGGGGAATTGCTTTCTATACATTACATCGTTAGGCCAACAGATGAAGTTGAGTCATTTACTCAACCAATTCATTCAAAAACACGGATTTATTCAGGAATTAAACAAGTGACTGTTTTAATGAGTCATTAGCTTTTTTTAAGCAGTATCATTCCCACTCGAAAAAGTGCCTTTAGTCAGTCAGCGTTCTCTGTAACAGCA